CCTCCTCTCGCTCTTCATCTTGATGATGTGCGGACGGGCGGGGAGGGAGCTGGAACCGGATCTAAATGGCACTGTAGATTTGTGGAACCTTTTCTATAGAAGAGGATAGAACTGGCAGGAACCCACCCCTGGTTTAATGGCTCTATGTTTACTCCAGCTTCTTCCAAAAACGTACAGGTTTGTCTTAAGGAACTGGAGTTCCCCTTATAGCTCATGGGAAATAAATAATGGGACCTTAAATCTCACTCATGCATGCTTTTTTTCTTACTGTGTAGTTGTTGCAAGAGCTGATTGCTCTTTTTAAAAAAAAAACCCTATTATTAATTATAATATCTTTTAGATTTCATTCACTTCTATTTATGTGTCAATGGGAATGTCACTGTTGCTTGCCTTTATTTGTTATCTCTTTTACGTATGTCTTCCACCATTTCTCTACTCTGTTTCCAGCCTATTGTAGAGGTTTATTTGAACTGTTGTCCTTCTTCACATATTTCTGTGTTTTCCTTGCTTTCTAATTACTTGGTTGGTTGGTCTTCTGCCCCAAATGTACTAGAAGAATGATCAGACTCCAGAGCTTTTGAACGGGAAGGCAAAATAACGTGACCTGATTAAATGAGTTTTAGATCCTTCAACATCTCGTTTCAGTTGGGGGCCTTATAAACTTTTTAAACCTGGCTTCAAGTGAGGACTTCCATATATCTCCTTTCCATTTTGTCCCCTCAGGATCTCTATTAACACCAAACGTCTCTGCTTCACAATACTCTGGAAGAGCTGTGATTATTTTGTTCCAACTACTATTTCAATGTGCTATATGTGAATGCTGCACAGTTCATTTTTGCATGGTTTTGTTCAGTGAGAAGGACTTTACGGCTTATTTCCTAAATTCTGAAATTTTAAGTCTTGTAAGCTTTGCTTACTTGGCATATTACCTTTATGGCTATATAAAACTTTTTGGTAATCTAGACAAAATAAGCTCGAGATAAAACTGACAAATGTTTTTCTCGTTTTTTCTTTTCAGCATAAAATTAGCAGGACCTGTGGAAACTTTGAGTTAGGGGTTTGTTTTTTTGTTGTTGTTGCTGCTGCAAAACTCTCAGTAGCTCAGTACGGCAGTGATTTTCACTTGTTCTTAGTTTTTCAAATCAGCAGAAGTGGAGTTCATCATAATTTGCCATCAAACCACAGGTTTGAGAGGTGAAATCATAGTTTATACGATTCATCCTGTGTTGAAAAGGAAAGGTCTTTTTTCTAACCAGCTCTTTTGTTTGTGAAATGCATGAGATACTAGAGGTTTTAAATTTTGGATTTTGGAAGGAAGATCAAGGACTTTTACTATTTAGCTGCAATGTGAAGACATGACTTCATAAGTATTGTTCACTGCTGCAAGAGCTAATGCAGTGGTGGGTTTCAAAAATTGTTCGAACCTACTCTGTGGGTGTGGCCTCCTTTGTGGGAGTGGCTTNTTTTTTTTTTACATTCTGAATAATCCGTGGACTTTAGAAAAAGGAACACTGAAGGCACTGTAAGGATTCTAAAAATAATACCAATGTGGTACTTACCAGTTGTGGTATGTAGTCAGTTGACTTCAGGAGAAGCAAGCTGAGAAGAAGAAAAAGAGCCAGAGAAATTGTCCCTAGATTGTTGCTAGTGAGGGATGCACGAGTGTAAGTCTGTAGTGAAAGCACCAGAATTTCTCTCTCTCTCGTTTTTTTCCCTTCCTCCTTTCTTTGTGCGTCTGAGTAAAATATGCCTACTTACATCTTTAAATCTGCATTGCTCTGCTGCCTTTGCTCTTTCTGCTGCTGCTTCGCTTGTAACCTTGTTGCGTCTGTGCTGTGGTTGTGTCCTCCAGTGTCTGAAGAGAGTCCCACGTCCAGTGAATCTGGAATCCACCTCCCTCAAGAACCTACATCTAAACCCGTCTTGCTACTCCCCCCTAAAAAATCTGCTGCTTTCTCTGGAGATCACGAAGACACCCCAGTGAAGCAGCTTTCCCTGCTCAAACAACCCCCTGCCCTGCCTCCTAAGCCCATTACCAAGATTGCCAACCATTTAGCTGGTAAGTAAATGTTCCTGTTTGGTTTCTGCTGCCTTCCCCTGAAAAAAAAATGCACTTTTCCTCACGTCTCTAGACAAAACCTTATTTTCTTCATGACACGGTCATGTAGGCCTCTCGGCTGTTTTTGCATCTTTCTTTAGAATACCTGGGTTACCAATTTGCAAATGCATGAGAACACCTGGCTATTAAGAACAGAACATTTTCTAGTGTTAAATTGTTAGCTGGAGTCTGTTTCAATCAAATGTCGGATTAATGCAGTGGTGGGTTTCAAAATATTTTAGAACCTCTTCTGTAGGTGTGGCCTGCTTTGTGGGAGTGGCTTGCCAGCCATGTGACTGGGTGGGAGTGGCTTGCCGGCCACGTGACTGGGTAGGAGTGGCCAACTTGTAAAATGTGGTGAAACGCACTTAACAACGCTCTTGCTTAGCAACCAAAATGTTGGCTCAGAAACTCNGTGTGTGTGTGTGTGTGTGTGTGTGTGTGTGTATGTGTGCGCGTGCGCCTTGTAGATCAACCACTGTTTGAAAGACAAAACCTCTGTGTACTGTATTTTGCTCCTGGGTTGTCTCAAAATAGTAGTCACACTGTGCACACTCTGACACACCTACTCAGCTTCAGTTCCATCTAACAACTGGCATGCAACCCTTAACTGCCTATCCCAAGAAACAAACCTGTATAGAAAAAGGGAGAATCCTTCCCCCTCCTTCCAAATGCAAATGGATTAATGATGCTTGTGGATCTCCTCATTTATTAAACCAAGATTTCCTTGTTCTAATATTACCATTAATGTTAGTTTATCCTATGGCAATGTCCTGGGCATTTCCTGCACTGTGCCTATGCAGACACTTATCCAATTCACTTTCAGAGGTTGATTGGGAGCTTCACAATTTCTCCTATTACGTCCCCTTCTGAGGCTATTAGTCTAATCCAATTTGGGGCACTTCCAAACCAATTTCTTTTGGTCATTTTAAGATTAGCTCTTGATCTGGTTGGTCTCATGCTATTGTGTGTATCTTTTTAGCTGATTGAATTTGTTTCTAATTGGTCTGATTTATTTGAAATGGTTGCAAAGCTGTCACTTTCTTTCAAATTGCTATGACTCTATAAATCCTTATGGGTGGACCATTTTCAGATTGGTGGAAGCTTTTCCTTCATCCTGTTTGCAGTTCCTATGCTCAAGCCAGGTATTATTCTCTTTCTCTCCTCTATTTCTTATAGATACAGCATCCTCTTTCTGGAGCAGCTGTTTTGTTGTAGACCCTGTTTAGAACATATGTCCACCTTTTTTAATCCAGCTGCAACCACATTCACTCTACTGGGAAAACTGCTTGGTGGTAAAATTGCAGGCATGCTAGTATTTCAGACTCCCAGGTCAAAGATGATTTAAATGCAACAGAGGAATAGAAACATGAAGTTTCAGGAAGACTTTGGTGGATTAGTACTTTTGATGAGTGTGCGTATTTATTCAACTTTCTCTTGCATAGCATCCATCCAGCAATCTTTCAGATTATGTTATTTGCAAATCACTACTAAATGCAGATGAATATATGAGAAATGTGGATGGGTAGAACCAGCTATTTTTTATATGTATGGGTGGGATGTTTTTNTGCGGGGACCTGAAACCAGCTCTCCCAACACCTAGTCCAGCACCTACACCATTAAGCCATTTGTCAGATAGGCTCTCCTGCTTGAGCAAGGGGTTGGACTAGATGACCTACAAGGTCCCTTTCCAACTCTGTTAATCTCTTCCCCCATAGCCATAGAAGCCCAATGGAGCGTCTTGAGATAACCCTCCTCTCTCGGCTTCAGAACCAAGCTGGCTTAGACTAGAATAAGAGAGTTGGAAGGGACCTTGTAGGTCATCTAGTCCAACCCCTTGCTCAAGCAGGAGAGCCTATCTGACAAATGGCTTAATGGTGTAGGTGTAGGTGCTGGACTAGGTGTTGGGAGAGCTGGTTTCAGGTCCCCCCAACTCAGCCCCAGAAGCTCATTGGCTGACTTTGGGATAGTCTCTCCCTCTCGGTTTAAGAACCAATCAGGTGTAGTAAGGAAGTGGTTGGAAGTCTATTTTAAACAGAAGCTCATGAGTTGATTTCCCCTCACAGCCCAAAGTGTCAATCAAGTGTAGTGATAAAAGTCCTGGGTTAGGAGTGGAGAACCTCAAGTTCTAGCCCCACCAACCATGGATGCTTATTGGCTGACTTTGAGTCAGTCCCTCCCTCTCAAACCAAGAACCAATCAGGTGTAACGGAGAAGGGACTAGGCTGGAAACAGGAAAACTCAGGTTCTAGTTACCCTCCCACACCTCAGCCCCAGAAGCTCATTGGCTGACTTTGGGATAGTCTCTCCCTCTCGGTTTAAGAACCAATCAGGTGTAGTAAGGAAGCAGTTGGAAGTCTACTTTAAACATAGAAGCTCATGAGTTGATTTCCCCTCACAGCCCAAAGTGTCAATCAAGTGTAGTGATAAAAGTCCTGGGTTAGGAGTGGAGAACCTCAACTTCTAGCCCCACCAACCATGGATGCTTATTGGCTGACTTTGAGTCAGTCCCTCCCTCTCAAACCAAGAACCAATCAGGTGTAACGGAGAAGGGACTGGACTGGCAACAGGAAAACTCAGGTTCTAGTTACCCCCACACACCTCAGTCCCAGAAGCTCATTGGCTAACTTTGGGCAACTCCCTCCCTCTCAGCCCAAAGAACCAATCAGCAGAAGGGAAAAGGGCTGGGTTAGAAATGGGGAGGCACATACAGGTGGTCCTCGACTTACAACTACAATTGAGCCCCAAATTTCTGTTGTTGCGGGAGGGATTGGTTGAGTTTTACCTCATTTTGCGACCTTTCTTGCCACAGTTGTTAAGTGAATCACTTATCGTTGATAAGTTAGGAAACTGGTTGCTAAGTAAAGATGATCACATGATCCCGGGGACACTGGAACAGTCATAAGTATGAGCAGTTGCCAAGCATCTGAATTTTTTTGATCATGGGGATGCTGCGAAGGTTGTAACTGTGGAAAATGGTCACGTCACTTTTTTTACTGCCTTTGTAATTTTGAATGGTCACTAAGTGAAATGTTGTAAGTGGAGGACTACCTGTTCTGCCCTCAGGCATTTGGGGGACCTGGGGCCAGCCCCTCTCTCTTGACCCAATTTACTTCAGAGGGAATGAATTAATAAGTCCCCTGCAATTTTTTAAAGAAGAGATTGGATAACCCTTTGTCTGAAGTGGTGTAAAATCTCCTGCCTAAGCAGGGGGTTAGACTAGACGACCTCCAAGGCCCCTTCCAACTCTGTTATTCTAATCTAAATTTCCTTTTGCTCCTAAAGGAAGGGCAGGATATAAGTGATAGAATAATAAATAGCAGTTCTTCAGAAGTGATGAAATTCGCTATTGCATATAGGATTACAATAGACATAATAAAAGACCAGAAAATTCAGTTTTGTTTTCCCTGGAATTCGCGGCTCCAAACCAATCTGTTTTTCCTCCAACGAAAGATGGAGAGATATTTCCTTACCTTAATCTCACAGGGAGCGTTAATTTTTCCTCCAAAGGACACCAGAAGTTGACCTGAACAACAAAATCTTGAAGCCAACATTAAAGTCTGGTTTTATTTTAAGCTTGGTTCCATGAAGCGAATTCTGTGCACTTGCTCCTGATGCACTGGCTAACTTCCCACTCAGATCTTAAAAATTATAATTCCACTGCAGCTTGTAGAGACAGGGGTGAATGACAGCCGAAGTACCAAGTGGGTTTTATTAAACAATTTCACCCCTTCTTTTTTTCTTCCTGTAATGTGTGCGACCAGCTGTTATGATCTGTTAAATCGGATTTAAGTCATGGTGATGTGTGAACCTAGCCATTATGGCAGTGTTTTTCAACCTTGGCCACTTTAAGGCACAAGGACTTCAACTCCCAGAATGCCCCAGCCAGGTGGCTGGGGCATTCTGGGAGTTGAAGTCCTTGTGCCTTAAAGTGGCCAAGATTGGAAAATGAGATACTATGGCTTATTCAACTACAGCTGAGGGTTAACACGAAGCTTTGAAGGAATGGGAAGAATCAGACTGCACCCCAAAATACTTCGGATGTTGACTTTGATTAGGTAGTTACTCCCTCTTGAAGTCAGCCTACCTCACAGGATTAGTCGTGGCCTGCATGAAGTGAAATGCGTTTCTAAACTAAACCCAGAGCTACCAATATTATTAGACCCTTTCTATTTTAGTTTCAGCAGTTTCCCAAAGATTTTGCGCTCTATTTGCTAGGCAATCCCAAACCTGCCTCCCCCCGCCCCCCCCACCTCTGGCTCCTTAAAGGCAAGTTTCATAACAAAAAGGAACTGGAAATTCAAACGCACAAAGAAAAGAAAAGAAAAACCGGAAACAAAAGCACAACAGCCCTCTCCAAAATCGAATAAGGCATTCAATGGAGCCACATTGGGAACGCCCATCCAAGCAGTTTCTATTTGTACGCTGTTCCCACTGGAGGTTTGCTAGTGTAACGCAATCCTAAGGCACCTGCAAGCGGGCTGGCCGCTTTCCCGATCCAGATCCACAACCTGCGCCTACCGGGAACCCAGATCCTGACCGCTTTCCAGATCCAGATCCACAACCTGCGCCCATCAGGATCCCAGATCCTGGCCGCTTTCCCGATCCAGATCCACAACCTGCGCCTACCGGGAACCCAGATCCTGACCGCTTTCCAGATCCAGATCCACAACCTGCGCCCATCAGGATCCCAGATCCTGGCCGCTTTCCCGATCCAGATCCACAACCTGCGCCTACCGGGAACCCAGATCCTGACCGCTTTCCAGATCCAGATCCACAACCTGCGCCCATCAGGATCCCAGATCCTGGCCGCTTTCCCGATCCAGATCCACAACCTGCGCCTACCGGGAACCCAGATCCTGACCGCTTTCCAGATCCAGATCCACAACCTGCGCCCATCAGGATCCCAGATCCTGGCCGCTTTCCAGATCCAGATCCACAACGTGCACCTATCAGGATCC